CAGACCAAATATCTTGTTCTTCCAAATGTCGTGTAGGTCCATCTAAGCAAACTGTGGACGTCTTCCTGGATGGACGGTTCCTCATCTGTCATCGACCTGCTGCTGAACTTCCTGATCCAGCAGCTGGACCAGCTGTCGGACCTAAAGCCAGCCTGCAAACAGGTAAGAGGCCGCCGCCGCCGCCGCCGCCGCCTGCCATCAGCGCTGCTGACCGTCCGTATCTCTGCAGGTTCTGCTAGAGGACCTCCATCTGGACGTGGTGGTCCAGTACGTGGCGAAGACCATGAAAGCCAGGATGAAGAGCAGGCAGCAGCAGGTGGGCGGGTCTCAGCGCGTGGTGGAGGACGCCCAAAAGATGGAGAGCTTCTTTAAAGAGCAGGTGAGATGTGAACACCTGAGCCTTTCCTCTCATCATCATGATCCTCCTCAGGCTCCTATCAGAACATCTGAGGTTCTGTCAGAGCCGGGTTCTGGTCCAAAGCTCCCACTGCTGATTTCTACCTGGAGGTACTTCTTCCTCACCTGTCCAGGATTCTTCAACCTGTGATCAGAGTTTCTGGTCCGCTCTATAAAACGCTATTTCTGACATTTTGAATTAAAGAAACGTCTTCAAACTTGGAAACAAAGTCCAGCAGATTATTTTATCTGGAATGACTGAGGACCTCGGTCAGTATCTCTGCAGTATTTTCAGTAGGATTGTTGGTGTTTCAGGGCTGCGGTGAAACGCTGAGGCTCTCTGAGATGCTCTGCAGTCTGGCTGAGATCCTCCGTCTGCAGGATCCTGCTAGTCTCCATCTGGAGGTCGTCAATCTGGCCCAAAAGTTCCCAGACTTCAGGTACCAGAGTCTGATGCTGCGACCCGAGCGCCTCAGTTCCACTCCGACATATCGGAGACGCGTCGAGCTGCTCCACCTCCCACTGCTCCACCTCCCACTGCTCCACCTCCCACTGCTGCTCCACCTCCCACTGCTCCACCTCCTGCTGCTGCTCCACCTCCCACTGCTCCACCTCCCACTGCTCCACCTCCTCCCACTGCTCCACCTCCCACTGCTGCTCCACCTCCCACTGCTCCACCTCCCACTGCTTCTCCACCTCCCGCTGCTTCTCCACCTCCTGCTGCTTCTCCACCTCCTGCTGCTTCTCCACCTCCTGCTGCTGCTCCACCTCCTGCTGCTTCTCCACCTCCTGCTGCTTCT